GCTCGTGAAGGACGATTCCCGGGCGGGTCTCTTCCGACCAGCGCCCGCAGCGCACAAACGGGAAGTAGGCTGCCCGGTCAGGAGTCCCGTAGAGCAGCCACAAAGTGGTTGTTGAAGCACATGAGCACTAGAGGGAGCAGCGCCATTTGCCCGGTCGTCTTGAACTTGTGCACCCGGTACATGTCTGGGGCTGGACTCAGGTTCATGCCGATCTGGATGGCGGCCGTCGCCAAGTGAAGTAGCGTCACAAGTGTAGAGGAGGAACCCATTGCAGTCCGAGCTTTCAGCCGGGAAGGCGAGACGGCCGAGTGACTCGACGAAGGAGGAGAGGAATCGTGCTTAGCGTTCAAATTTGAAAATGGAGATCGAGGCGAGCAAGGCAGTGAAAGATCCACTCGGCCGGAAGGAAGACGGCACGGGGTGACATTGCTTTGCTAGAATAATTTGCGCTTTGCTCGGATGGAAAGTCGCAGAATGGCACTGAGCAATGAGTCCTCATGTGTCCGGAAGTCTGAGTACCGAATTATCGTAGTCCTAGGGGACGTTTACTCCTAAGGGTCACCAACGAACCAACCAATCGGATCCTTCGATTGTAATACAGATGGCTTCATTACTTACGATAAGGTTCATTCTAATTTTACTTCGGCGGAAGCTAAAAGAACGGAGCCCAACACCACAAAGAAAACGGAAGGCCGTCGAAAAGTATGGTTCGCTTGCGCATCAATGGACCAGGAAAGAAGCGGAAGACCTATCAACGTAGGGCAGTAGAGTATGCGCATAAGAGAGACGTCCTCGACTACATTGACAGCGGTCACAGCCTTGACGAGACAATTTCACAGTTCTACGGCGACTTAAGTGGCTCCGACATTCGTGCTAAGAAAAAACAAATTCACAAGTGGAGCAAGCAGGCTCCAACTATACGTGCTGCATGTGATTCTGGGCGGGGGTGCCACCGAAATGTGCGCGGACTTGGTGAAGCGACTGTGCTCACCAAGGAGGCTGAACGCGCTATCGTAGTGTGGGTGAATTCGCTGCGGAAAGATGGTGCCCCTGTCTCCCGTCTCATGCTTCAACTGCAGGCAAAAGAAGCAGCTGCAGACATTGGCCTGAAGGCAAATTTGCAGCCACATCAACATGGGTTAAGCTATTTCTTCGTCGCCATAAATTAGCGCTCCGTGCACGTACCAGGCAGGGACAGACGACGCCACAGGATGCTCAAGATGCAGCTACGACATTTCGAGCGCTGGTGCTGCAGACAATCGTCGAAAAGAAGTGTGTACAAGTATACAATGCTGATCAGACGGGTAATCTTTTTTTATTTTAGTTTTAAAATATTTTTATTGACTTTTCTTCTTGTAGGAGTGAATTTTGAGTATTTACCAAAACAAACCATATCTCAACGTGGAGTGAAAACTGTTTGGGTAGAATGTGCAAATAAAGAGAAGGCCCGAGCTACAGCTATGCTTTTGGCGGACTGGGAAGGCACAAAATTGGCTCCATTCATAGTGTTCAAGTGTCAACCGTCAAAAATTAAGGAGAAAAGGGAAGAGAACCACACTCTGCGCCATGGGTTTAGCCCGACTATGTGGACCCGTGAAATTAATCCACTTCAAGAGCGCTACAATTGTCAAATTTACGGGAACCAGTGCGCATGGTGGAATTCTGATTTGTCTCTGAGATTTCTCAAATATCACTTTGCTGAGCAGCACGAACCGAGATGACCACATTTACTCATATGGGACG